TTGGTAGACCACACTATGAGACATTGGGACATCTAGCAGCATCAGCTAGTGACATTCCCATTTACATCCATCTGATCGCCCAACCACCTCAACGAATCGGGCAAACGACTTCTCCTAGGCATTGATAAGATTCTCTTGGATATTGTCCACGAAACTGTAATAACAACTGAAGATCAACATTTGTGAACAAAAATTACAATTTTTGCATCTATTCTCCAACTCCTATTCATTTCTATAAAATAAAAGTGGTAGCTATTGTTTTTGCATATATTTTCTTAACTTTGTTACTGTCACGCATATGAACTGTAAATTTAAACGTTACTGACATTTTTGTAATGGTGAGCTTTGAAAAACATGCTGTTCTTAACTTTTGGCGGGCAACATACATCATGGAAAGATAAAGGGTTCTTTCTGATTATCCGCACACCGTTCACAAAAAATACCCATTGGTATGTCTCCAAAATGTATTTGTGTGGCAATCCCGGTATGCATGTGTATAAAGCTCACCAAATTTAATGATCCTTTTTTAATCAGTGCTTGTTGTAGCACCGAATACATTTTTTTTCCTTGCAATGAATCGTAATGAGACTGGAGTTTGCCAAATGATGAAAGAGAATTTATTGCATTTCTTCAGGAATATGGTGCTTTGGATAAGACTAGATAATGCAAAAATGTCAATTCCATGGAGAAGCATTTCTCAAACAATAGAATTTTATGGAAATGCGATGTGAAAAATAACAAGCTAACCGGTAGAATGCAAGATGCCATATTTGTGTAATTCTCTCACTTTTTTTACAATAAATATTGATTGCTGTGTCCATAAGAACAGTGCCAAAAAAATTACATAGGAATTTCTTGAAAAAGGTAAGTGTTTTATTACAGGTGTTTCTTGCTTCTTTAATTTCATTTCTATATGGAATTCTTAGTGTGCCACCATTTTAGAAATGGCTGCTAACTTTTGTATATTAGTTTGGGGAAAAAATTAATCAACTAGTTGATGACATTTTGGAAGCGAGGTGCAGATAATCAGACACCACCATAAAAAGTTCTGTGTATATGTATTACGCATGTGTGTAATAATTCAAAAGTTGTTGATGCGAAAATACACACAGGTGTGTTGATGTATAGATGTAACACCACTCATTGAAGCTAACTGAACATACTCTATTTCTTGAATGCTAGTCCGAGTCTAAAATGATTTCTCGATATTTCTATTTGAAATTTCGGTACGGTTAGAATAGACTTTCAGGTACCCCTTGCATTATGGTGAAGTTGTTTCATTTATTGCCGAGTTGTTGCTTCATTTATGGTAGCCTGAGTAGTTGAATGTTATGGAAACCCTATTACGACAGAATTGGGTGCATGATTCTGGGAAATTTTGAATCATGGGATGTTTTGTAAGCACTTTTGTGGTGGTTTTATTGTTTAGATGGTAGAATGGCTGAATGTAGTAAGATTAATTTGAAGTTTCTGTACGATTTGGAAGGAAAGGGGAAAATAGCATTAATTGACTGGTGTGTAAATGAAAGTTTATAAGTGTCCTGTATGTAAGAAAAATATGCATCTAGTCGAAAGTAAAAACCGTTTAGATGGATTTGTAGGAAGAAAGGTTCAAATTTGGTGATGCTGATACACGGATTCGAGTTCAGATAATTTTAGGAAGTTTTTGGATGCTGTTAAGAAATTTTGTGTGCCACAGACTAAAGACAAAGGAACTTCTAAATAGGGTAAGTGGATATTTGCTTTTTGCAGTGCTTAAATGTATAACATGTTTTTCCTTTTTTATGTGATTTTATTGTTTGGTTTAAAATGTAGTTTATTAAGATTATTTTTTTTTCTGTTTGTTTGTTTGCCTGTATAATTGGGTGCTCCTTTGACTTTTTAAGTGATGGTTTGGTTTGGTGTATTTGATTATGGCAAAGCACACGAGGGCTATCTGCCTTAAGGGTGGGATGCCTTCGTGGAGGACGTTCTTAGGGAAACTGGCTAGTATACACGTTACACATGGGGAAAACCAAGAAAACACCCATGCAGCCAGCCCGTTCGTGGGATTTGAACCTCGGACCGAACTACCAATGTTCAGCGGCGTTACCGTTCGGCCGCTGGTGGGCCTTTTTAAGTGAAAATATATCGATGTGTACATGGACAAAGTGACGAGACTGCGCAATGCAAGTTTATGCAATTCTTGGATTTTTTTAAGTGAAAATAGGTTGACGTGTACATGGATAAAGTCAAGGGAGTGTGCAATACCATTTTTGTGCAATTCAGGGATTTTTTTTTAAGTGAAAATAGGTTGATGTGTACATGGATACCGAGCTTATGCAATTCTTTATCTTGTTATTTTGGCTTTGTGTAGCAGCGGTTTTTGGCTCAAAAATCGCCGTTATGCAAGACAAACTTGGTATCCATGTACCACCAAAAATAACCAAGTTTCGCCTTTTGTGCAATTCGGGGATTTTTTTTAAAATGAAAATAGGTCGATGTGTACATGGATACCGAGTTTGTGCAATTCTTTGTCTTATTTTGGCTTTGTGTAGCGGCAATTTTTGGCGCAAAAATCGTCGTTATGCAAACCAAAATAACAAGTCAAAAATTGCACTAACTCGATATCAATGTACCACAAAAATTCGCCGAGGGCTACCCTAAAATATACTTTCACCTTTAGGTACTGGCAAATAAACTTCACCTTTACCGTTTCACTGGCACAAATCTCACAAAGCAGACTTTAATAGCGACAACACACCGTATACACATAAAAAATTTTAACAAACGTTAGTTCCAAGAAATTTTTATTTTAAAAGCATAAAAATTTTAATATCGTTAAGATTTTGTAAAAAAAGACAATAAGTAAAGACGATAAATTTGCAGAAAGACATTAATTTAAGAATTTACTATGCTTTCATGCTACAACATCCTGATTTGCTGTTTCATACCATGTGACCCCAAGGGAAGAATTGTTGAGTGTCCACATGAAATCTAAGTTAATGTCCTAGATTTCATGTGGCCTTTTTTTTAATATATATATAAAGTACTGAAATACATTTGGTTAGATTTATTGTCAGGTAGAGTAGCCTTGTATTATGGTGAACTTATTGTTTGATTTATCGCCAGGTTGTTGTTTCATTCATGGTAGCCTGAGTAGTTGAATGTTATGGAAACCCTATTGTGACATAATCGGGTGCATGATTCTGGGAATTTTTGAATCATGGGATGTTTTGTAAGCATTTTTGTGGTGTTTATTTGTTTGATTCTTTAGACAGTAGAATGGCCGAATGTAGTAAGATTAATTTGAAGTTTCTGTACAATTTGGAGCAAAAGGGGAAAAGAGCTTTAATTGACTGGTGTGTAAATGTAGGTTTACTTAGTAGCCATTATAAGTGTTTGTATGTAGGAAGGATATGCGTCTAGTCGAACGTAAAAATCGTTTAGATGGATTTGAATGGGTTTGTAGGAAGAAAAGTTCAGATGGTCACTATGTGAAGTGTTCGATCAGAAAGAGTACCTGGTTTGAAAAAAGTCATTTGAGTATGATTGATATTTTGATTTTTACGTGGCTCGGGGTGTACGAAGCGAACTCGAAAATCATGGTAAGTGAATATTTGCTTTTGGTAGTGCTTAAATATATAACATGTTTTTTCTTTTCTATGTTATTTTATTTTTTGGTTTTTAAAATGTATTTTTTGAGATTTTGCCCCTATATTGTAGAATTTGGTGCTCCTTTGACTTTTTAAGTGTAAATATATCAATGTGTACATGGACAAAGTAAAGGGAGTGTGCAATGCAAGTTTGTGCAATTCTGGGATTTTTTTTTTTTTTTTTTTTTAAGTGAAAATAGGTCGACGTGTACATGGTTAAAGTTAAAAGAGTGCGCAATGCCATTTTTTTTTGAAATTCGAGGATTTTTTTTTAAGTGGAAATAGGTCAACGTGTACATGGATAAAGTCAAAGGAGTGCGCAATGCAATTTTGGTGCAATTCGGGGATTTTTTTTAAGTGAAAATAAGTTGATGTGTACATGAATACCGAGTTTGTGCAATTGTTTGTCTTGTTATTTTTGCTTTGTGTAGCGGCAATTTTTGGCACAAAAATCGTCACTTTGCAAGCCAAAATAACGAGTCAAAGAATTGCACAAAATCGGTATCCATGTGCCGCCAAAAATCGCCAAGGGGTACCCTAAACTATACTTTCCCTTTATTGTCATTCTCCAGAGGCTATTCCACTAGTTGATGATCAAAGTTCAGTAATGCTTAAATGCAAATGAATACAATTATGGAGTTCAGGAAGATAATAACATTGTTTTATGATTCACAAATTTATCACCAATGATTTCTGGTGATTCTGGAAGACCATTAGCATATATTAAAAATGTTAAATCAAAAGAAAAGGCTCAGCCTTTATATCATCAGAGAACTGTGACTATCAGCTATGATTATCCATATCCCTCTGTAAAGTATTCAAGAGGTAATGTACTATATCATCAAAATAAGCAATTCACAGCATTGCCCAAATGTATTTATGTGACAATTCATGTATACTACATGCATAGCTGTCAACAGCTGATTTTTGCCTTCAGATTCAATTTTTTTGGTTTTACTTTTTGTTGCATTCAAGTACACCTTTTTCTCTTTCTCTTAAAAAAAAAAAATCACATTGGAACTGTGCAGTTTAACAGCTCATGAAAAAGACAGCATTAATTTCTTTACAAATATGTCGTTTTGCTCAACAATAGAAAACGCAAAAATATACTTACTCATTATCCTGTTGACAATTAAACTGTCACTAAGCAGTGCAATATAGCACCAGTTATAGCAAGCATTCAAGTAATTACAGAATTAGAAAAGATAATTTATATCAACAAAAATCAGTTATTCGTTTAACATGAAGTTATGGAAGTAAATAAATTAGGAATCAATATTATTTCATGCGGTTTAAAAACCCAAACAACCACACTTATGTACAAAACAAGTTAACCCGGATTAAAAATTACGGAAGAACACAAACCTCAGATCCAATATAATAATATTCCCCATTTTCTTCAAGTTGAAATGCAATAGGTTTCTCTCCAAATGTTCGCATGGTCATTTTTCAGTTTCTTTATAAAATATAGAATTGACAGGCACACAGACGCCAAATCCGAGCTCAGTAGATCAGAAATCCGAGTCGGTGTTGGTTCATCATAGTTACTTTTGCACATAATAGATAAAGGAAATGTAAATGGCAACCCTCTTAGCAAATTTGGCGTTGTTGCAATCAATTGGTTATCAGTTTAGTATTTCTGCGAGTGAGTTGGATTGTCGAAAGTGTCATAACAATACAAATTTTTGTATTCATTTTGTGAATCAGGAGAGTTCAGTGTTGATGATATTAATTTGCCTTCATGAGTGAAGGTTGTGCTGTTTAACGCTCTTACTGGTTCTTACCACTATATTTTATAATACGTCCCTGAAGTGTACTAAACGAGCCATGCCTCGCAGAAGATTGTCGCATTTTCTTGCTAGCCACATGCATAGAGACTTCAAAGAAGTGTTCTCGTGGAGGACATTAATCTGCATCGTGATGAAGAAAACTTCATTGATTATTTAAAAATCATCGAAATAGATATTCTTCCATTTCGATGGATGAATATTCTGAACGACTTAGCCGCACAGGGTCCTGAGCCGCTCAGTGCTTTCATCGGATGATATCTATTCTTCCAAAAGGGGGAAAAATAAGAAAACGCATGACTTCGAAGCTGAAAGGAGTACTGATCAGAGTATTTCTATTACTAAATCTGATGATTCTGTATGGACTACCCCTGCTATAATTGCAATGATGTCGCCAATTAAAAAATCTTCATCTGAGCTTAAGGATGTTCATACTACGTCAAACTTGGATCTTGTTATCCTGTTAAAAATACTTTTGAAGTTCTAAATGCGCATACTGACACTGAAAATACTACGGACTGTGTTGAGGATCTCCTGCTGTCAGGGGAGTAGCTAAAGGGGGGCATCTGTCCCCGTGCGCAGAATCCAAGGGGCACCAAACTGATATTACGGCATTTTAGAATTAAACGTTTTCTATCCTTGGCAAGCAGTAGGGGGCGAGAAATCTTCAGTTGTCCCTGGGCGCTGAAAACCCGCTGTGCAAAATTCACAAAATGAGGTTAGCGTCGCTACCCCCACCTATATTGCAACCTCTTCAGAGGTCAAATATAAAGAATGTATTCCGATCATGTGTCCGCGACCAGAGGTCTCCTGGATAGGCCACAGTGATCAGAACCCTCTTCACCAAACACGATGTAAACGGATACACTGGAATTCTTACGAAGGACAAAATTACCATCACCTTTGAAAATTCTGTTAGTCACAAATTAACACTAGCTATTTTCAGGAATAATTTCCAGTTCAATATTTTCTGACAAAATAAAGATTCTCCTCTCAAGATCGTCATCAGAGGTTTACCTGAAGGCTGGGATGTTGAAGAAATCCATAAAGATAATGGTTGACTCAGCAGTGATGGTTTTCCGGTCACCAAAGTTACTCAATTGTTTTGGGGGGGAAAGTAATAAAACTGCTATGAATTTACCTGTTTCCTTTGCGTCTCGGGAGCGGAATGATGCAGGTAAAAGCATCTAGAAGAAGAAAACAATTTTGAATCTACATGTTACCATCCACCGATTCAGATCTAATTGAATTACAATGATGTGCTTCCGCTGCGAAAGATTTGGCTACGGACAGTTATTTTACAACAATGTGCTGGATCAGTTAACCTATACTTATAATTTATCAAAAGATGGAAAAAACCCCTTGTGTAAGGTGCAAAAAAAATCCATATTGTTCCTTATAAGGGTTGCGAGTTTTATCCAAAAATTCGCAATAGTTCAAATCTACAAATCCTGTTCCTGATGTTTCTGCAGCCCAAGAAGCTAAAGACTCTAATTCTAAGAATTTGGACTTTGATAAATTTGCTGATGTGCAGTTTAAAACTTTATGCACAATTTGCTGTTTTCTTTGGCAAAATTTTACATTTTGCTAAGATACTTAAAAACTCGAGCTCTCAGGAAGATAAACTTCAGCTTGCCCTGTTATTTATTGAATTAATTGAAAAGCTGAACATTTAATTTTATTCTATTTTCAGATTCACTGAAAGATGAATGTGTATAACTCCTACCTTGCTCATCAGATGGCACCACGTCCTAGAGGAATTATTTTACTATTCTACGACGCCTCATTGTGTTTCGGCCTGTTTTGTTTTTGGCTACTATTCTTTTCATCTTATATTTGTTTATTTTCTGTCATGTAATATTTTTCTTTCAAGTTTCACTACATCATGGCAAATGGCAAAAAGCTTGTAATCCATACAAGCTACGACCAGTGTAACAGCTGAAATAAATCATTTTGTGAATTTATCTGATTAGATTTTTTACACGAATGTTGTTTAATATAAAACCAATCATACTGACATGATTACCTATACCACTGTCTTTTGCTGTAAGGAAGATTTATTTTATATTCACATATGAAAGATTTGTTTTACATGAAACACAGCTAAATAGTATTTCGCCAAGACAAGGAAACATTCCATTAATTCAACGAATTTTATTGAATAAATTACCTAAACATACGTGGAAGATGATTTTAAAGAAATCAACAATTACCGTTATATTAAATATATATATATATATATATATAAATCAAACGGGTACAAAATCGAGTAAATTTAAAGAATATAAAGCAAATCTTAATAAATTCAAATTTGGGAAGTATATACAGCCAAATTTGCGATAAATACTAAGCATGGTAACCTAGCTCTTCACATTGGCGATGTCTTTAATCTAATATTGCAGATTAAGCCGGACCACGTCATGCGACAGAGTAGCGTCTCGCCCGCATATTCACAAAGCCTACAGACCATTTTCTAAGGTCTGCTCTCATTGGATGAAACATGTGCTTGGCGTTCATATTTGGAATAGCGAGTTATCGCCCTATAGGCGTGGTAATTAACGCCAAACAAATGGAAACAGCGTTCATTTCATTCGATAATTTTTTTATTTTATGAATGAAAGCTAAGAGGAATTGTGTGGAATATATTTTAAATAACCTACTAATCTTATTAATAGTTTATTTGAATTTGAATTTAAACTATTTAAAGTACGGTAATTATTTTGCAAGAAAAGGTTTTTACATGGAAATGGCACGTGTACTTTTTCGTCATTTCTGTTAGAAAGAGCCTGTTGTGTAAATTTCCATAGCGCATTAATTTATACAAATAAAGGAATATTCAAAAATAAACCAAATGAAAACATTCAGTAAACATTTAAGGGCGTCGGATACCTATTCTTTTTTACCTAAATTATGAAAAGTAAGTATAACTAAAATAATATTTTATCCCATTATGCGCTATTTCTATTGACTATATCTATTGCGCTATTCTTTTCGGGACCTTGGATCGTAATCTTGCTACTGGTACCTACTACAAAGAGTACAAACCAGTAAATAAAAATAAGAAAAATTAACAAAAACAGAAAATAAAGACGTTTAATTTTTAACACCGTACCCAAACAAATAATGACGAAGTCATTCAATAAAGTTAAAATAAAAAACTTAAAAAAATCCGTGTAGAGCAGAGTTTATGAAAGCTACGAACGGGGATAGAACCGGCAATCTAGAAGTCTGAGAACTTTTTCCGCGCTCGTTACCGCTGAAGTGCGTTTTCGCCGGTCAGCTATGCTCAAATTTTGGTACACCATGCTTAAATACAAATTCTAAAGGCGATGAACCAAAAGTCGCCAAGCACTAGGTTCTGTAACCCTACATTTCCTGTTTCAACCAATCGGAGCAAACAGCAGTACAAATAGTCTGTAGGCTTTGTAAATAAGCGTCTCGCCCTAGCATTGAATTGTTTCACGCATGCTCAATAGGCTGTAAAAGTGACATACGCAGCTGAGCGCCGATCACACTCAACGACTTTGTATAATAGTATATATCTCGTTCATCCCACTGGGGAGTCGGTTCCATGTGTCGACTAGCTCCGCTGTGCCTGATGTTCAGATTTTTCAACTTGCTTCCCTATGAGGGAAAACTGGTTTTGGAGGTGGGTCGACTACGTTAGCTGAGATAATAAACCCCAGTGGGAACAGCCCTTGTCATGCGAGTTTTGGAGAATATTGGAAACGAGCTGACTTTGTCGTCTTAGAATGTTTTTATATGACTTGTATTAAATAGTTTTAATGTCAATACAAAACCTGCATAGGTTCTTGAGTGCATGATACTCTAGCAATTATAAATTGTGAATTGAAGGCAAACTGAAAGACAATGGTTTATTCATTTATAATAGCAGATTACGATTGTCAAGTTTTGTACTCATTTGTATTTGATTTTGCAGAGAGACGATGTGTGAAAGAAGACATCTCTGTAAGAATTGTGCAGCAGATAAAGAAGGAATTTGATTTCAATTCATCTGTGACAAGTAACATTGTAGATGGTTCTGAAAATCTCTCACTTGATTTAGAAACTAAAGGTATCCTTAATGTTAAAGTAATGGAAGTCCAAAAACCTACTGTATGGCATTCATATTCTGGTTGCTTGTATATTCTTGTTTGCGACAGCTCTGATAATCGAATTTTGGCAGCCAGAACTCTTGTCATATTAATACGAACCTTCAGAGATCTTTTACCTAGAATATCAAATGGTATATCCGAATTTGTTTCTAAAGCAAATATAGTATCGCTTATTGTTAATACATTCATTCCTAGTGGACAGCTGTTATTTTTGCATAATCAAGCTATTCAACAAGTGACTAAAGACTTGCAGAAAGCTGTAAGATAACAATTTACAAAACAGTTTTCATATAGTAGGATTAATATTAAAAATGTCTTTTTAAGTTAAAAATAATTATATATGGTACCAACTACATGTATTGTCTCTTCCTCTGATTCTGTGTTTAATATTTTATAATTCCTTCAGATTTGCATTATCCCTGTAGACTGTCGAAGAGAATGTGTGCTCAAAACAATTTTTCTCCTTCGTATTTCTGAAGAATCAAATTTTTGTTGAGACCTTGGTGTATTCATAATTGCAGTATCTACTACTAGAATTATAAGATCCTGCAATGGGTTGTTTCACAGAGTCATATTTTTCTGGGACAGTGTTTTATATGGATGATGATATGTAATAAATTATTTGTATTACAAACATGTAATAAAAATTTATATGAATCTAATAAAATAATTTTACATATTTTCTGCGGATAAAGGCAAATGCCTTTATTATCTGCAATTCAGGTATATATTTATATTAATTCTCTAAATATGATAAAATGTTTATATTAATGCTAGATAAATTCTGCTACATAAAAAGAAAACAATACTTTCCTATAATTGGGGCTGGATTCAGAATTATATGTATCTGCATGTATGTATATACACACAGACATGCATACATTTCTGAATCTGGTCCTGGTAGCAGGCTCTTTTTCTTCAGTGCACAAGTTATATAAAATAGTGTGTGTTGTCCACATGTGGTATTATAACATATTGAATGATACTCAGTTATATTTGCTCAGAAAAGGGAGTTAAATATTGTTATTATGTAACTGTTATGCTAAGTTCTATAAGATCTGAAATAAAAGTTAACATATGAGAAAAGGACAAGCTTAGCTTTAATAAACAAATTTAAAATATTTTACATTAACCAGATATAAAATGGGTTAATCTTTGGATTATGGTAACTTGGCGGTTTTTTTGGCGAAAATGTGGCGACCAACCTTGCTACATCAACCTGCTAGTTTTGTTTTGGGCGCCATTTTGTTTTCACGAAGTAAAGGCATGTTTTTCTTTTTTTTTTTTTTTTTACTCAAAATTTTTCTCAACAATCTGCTTGCCGAATTATGATTATACTAGAAATTTATGGAACAAAAATGCTTAATCATGACGAAGATTAGGTGCGAAATTGGGAGAAACGGCAGAATCACCCACTGCTAGCCGCGTTTTTAAGAATTGCACATACACTGTATCATCCACGTACACGTCAACCTATTTTCACTTGAAAAAACGTCCCAGAACTGCAAAAAAATGGCATTGCGCACACTCTTGACTTTATCCATGTACACTGCTAAAGTCCTAGCTAGTAACCTTTATCGCCTTACCAAAATGTCGCCAAACTACCTGTTACCATATTCGGTTGATCTTTACATTATGGTAACTTGGCGTTTTTTTGGCGAACATTTGGCGACCAACTCTCCTACAGCAACCCTCTATTTTTTTTTCCCGCCGCCATTTTGTCTTCACGAAGTAAAGACATGTTTCTTTTCTTTTTATCTACTGAACACTTCTTCCAACAATCTACTAGCCGAATTACACTTATGCTAGAAATTTTATCTAACAAAACTGCTTAATCATGACAAATATTCACTGCAAAATTGGGAAAAAGTGCACAATACCATACTCCTTACGCGTTTTTCAAAATAACACATACACATAAACCATGTATACGCCGACTTATTTTTACTTAAAAAAACATCCCAGAATTGCACAAAAATGGCATTGCGCTCACTCTTCACTATATCCATGTACACTGCTTTTTTCTCATAAATTAGAAAAATTTCAGGAAAATACATGACAATTTTCTCAATCTTTAAACCCGGTAAAAAGAACATATGTGAAATTACCTGATCGCGAAAACGTATTTACCCTTTCCAAATATGAACATTTCCACATATAAAATAAATAAAATATCCAAAAACTTTTACCTCTAAATCATCTATTATATTATAAATGTCACCAACGAATTCATACCTCAACCATTACAAATACTTAGTGTCAGATATTTAAATTATTTCCATGCACGTTTACTTCAACTAAAAAAACGTATACCAAAATTCCTACAAACATATAATTCACAAAATAACTATCATTTAATTAAAATATAATTAAATTAAAAAACACTACTTAAATATAAATGAGCACATATATTAAATTAATAAAAATTACCTTACAACCCTAATTACTTTAAACTAAATCATTGCTAATAACAATTTTCCCAATAATACCAAATTCCTTTACTTCCACCTTACGTTTAGAACAATGCATAAAAATAATATCCTCAAATAATTAAAAATACTAACTTACCTAATCTTCTTCAGAATCTTGATTACGTGTCCGATAAACTTTTCTTCTTTCTGTTTCAGGATCTTTGAAATCATACTTATATTTCACAGCAAGGTACCAGGTAAAATAAATAACTTAATAAAACATCTTTATTTCTATCTCGCACAACCTTAAAGAAACATTTATTACTACCCTTTTCAATACCACTAAATACCCATTTCGAATTCACTTTAGTTACCGCCATGGGATCCAAAAATTCACGAACACTGTTTCACGCAACACAGAATAAAGCCAAATACAAAATTTCCAGATTTTTTCCCGATTCCCCCCTTTCCCGATTAAAGAACCGTAAGTCGTCCATTAATATCACATGACATATCCCATGATCTCTCATTTCCCTCGCACAAAATAATGCGTAATCGGAACTGAGTACTGCTCACATTATTACCAAAGTCCCAGGTAGTAACCTTTACCGCCTCCAAAATGTCGCCAAACTACCAGTTACCATATTGTAAAGATCAACCCCATATTCCAAAGATTAGCCATAAAATGATTTTGTGTATTGTATTAAAATCATGATGCTATTCCATTAGAGTGGCATCAGTTAAAAACGACTGCTTTTTTTTTTCCACCAATTGTTGCCAAGTAAAATTATGAAATAATAATAAGAGTTCAAAAGTTTTAAAAAAATTATTTCCATAAAATATAATTTTTTTATAATTTCTTAATTCATAAAAAAGTGAATTTTTCTTTTTATTTTTTTAAACTACAAAATTCTACGCATAAATAAAAAATAACAAAAACAAAATTCAGTCTAAACGGGTAACATAAAGTTACAAATATCATTCAATATTTCAGAAAAAATTTAAGTTTTTTAACACAACTGCTGCCACATAATTTCTATCAAATATGATTGTAAATGCTGCGATCAATGCTCTGCTGACGGTACTTTCTCCATTTAGTCCATTTAGCACTGCCCAACAATCGCTCTACAGTTTGGGTATGACATGCAGTTACAGGGTCTATAAAATTATAACGATGATTTACAGTGAAATGTTCATACCCAGCATTTCCTTACTTCTCTTTCGTATATACTTTCCAGCAGTCTGAAGATATACTGCCATCCACGATGTTTTCCTAAATGGTAGTCATCAATGTTTATAGCACAACAATCGGGAATGGTGACCAGAAAGCATTCTTTGCTTTTTCGGCATAAACCACCAAAAACCTATTGGTCCGGAAGAACACGTTCAACGTTGATTTATTTTTTTGTGAAAAGACTTTAAAGTAGTTATTCCAATCTATTGTCATACTAGGGCTGATTTCTAACTGAAGTTGGCAAAATTCAATAAACGTCAATTCGAGATCATAGATAAATAAAATGAAGACACTGAGGAAAAAAAGATGCAAGCCTTCAAACTATGTTTCGATTCTGAATACTTTTTTTTCACAGCAAGAACGTACGTAACAATGACATATAGGACCTTTGTCTGAATCAAAAGTTAACTTCATTGGATGAGTTTTGAGAACAAAGACTATTGCTATGAATTATTCCTTTGTCCTCAAAGAATCTTATGGCAGGTCATTAGGTAATCGTATTAAAGAAATGGCAAAATACGGCACAAAAAATCAAGTGATGATGTTTCATACGAGTACGAGAAATCTCTAGCCACAATATTTCAAACATAAATAAAAAATACTCAAAATAATGAGTGACAGTATTTAAAATGAAAACTAGAAATCCTCTGTACCCACAATATTTCAAACTTTAAATTCTCGAGCTGTGATATTTGGCCATGTTGTTCTAAATTTTTCTTCATTTTTAAGTGACATCGCTCTGATCAAAATCATATATATTTTTTACCATGAAATGATTATGCATAATTTCTCTTTTACATCAGTGTTATTCTGAAATGGACTCTGGCAAAGATGAAATTAAATAATAAATTTATTTTGACTGCATTTACAATTTAAACTGTATGAATACATAGTATGCTTTATTTTTTCTTTAAATCTTTCAAGTCAGCTAAAGGTTTTTACTTACTTTAGAATAATTTGGCTTTCAGAACTCACAGATTCAATTTGATGGACTGTGTACATGTGTAATTATAGCACTTTCAATGTTATTGAGTGTTTTGTATAGTTTCGTGGATGTTTATCCATTAGATTAATATATTTTTCAGTCGTCATGTAATGTGCTTTTATGCACTGTAAACATTTATCTGTTTCTTCAACAAAACTAATTCTATTTTGTTCGTACTAAAGTATAGCATGGTAATAAATAGAATTTAATGAAGGGTAATATAATAAGATCATATCCACTAACTAGGATAGTTGCTACATATGAAGCCCATTAGTATATGAACACTAAGTTTGATGAACACTGTAGTTTTACCATATGTTTGAATAAAAGCCTGTTCCCTCTTGTCTTCCGAAGGAAAAACATGTATCTGTAGGCAGATAGACCATGTGCTTTGCCATAATCAAATCCAGTGTAGTGGATTATGTTTATGAGGTTGCTTCTGTAGCACTGTTATCACCATTTTGCAATAATTTATATTTAGTGGGTTCTTCATGGAAGTGTTCAAGTATGTTGATAGTCATACATTAGTGTTTAGTGACTATTATCATATATCACTAGTCGGATGGATTCATAGAATCCAGGAATATGACATTAGCATCCATCACCAGACAGGAACATCATAAAGAAAAGCCAACACCTTGTCTAGAAGACCCTTTGCAGAAACCTGTCGATATTGATCTACGGTCGAAACAAAATAGTAGCTGGTTTTTTTCGGCCATACGTCAAGTTACAAATTCAACATCGCTCAAACCACACCCATGGAATGATGAAGACATCAGGAAATACCAGTTAGATGATTGTAACATAAAACCCATAATTGCTTAAAGGAGTCTTCATATATAAAACTTACCTGGCAAGATATGATTTATAGTGCTATTACAAAAAAATCCTGAGCATCTGGAACATACTCCATATTCGAAATGGAGTCTTGTACTGGATTTTTCAATTGAATGATGGAAAGACATTCCTTATGGCAGCTCATACTTCCAAGATCCCAGACGTCTTTGAAGAACTACATTACAGTGCATATAGGAGGCTACTTCGGAATAATGAAGATTTTGCATCGAGTTCTAAAGTGCTTCTACTGGAGTTGGGCAAGAATTGAGTGAAAACACCAAGTGGCCTGAAGTGTATCCTTTTTCTGATTGAAAGAGTGTCACAGTAAGCAAAGGTAATAATAGAGCATTGGATTTCCAGGTTTGGAGTGGCTCTTCAGTTACATTCAGACCAAGGAAGGAATTTTCTCTCGGCTTTAAGCTATAAACTGCTCAGCATAAACAAAACTCAAATGACACCTGTACATCTACAGTCCGCGGCATAGTAGAGAGGTTTAATTGACATTCCTTAATAATTTCTTACTCAAGGTTTCCAGAAAGCAACAAGACTGTGACCAGAAGTTATCTGTCTTCTTACTGGCCTATCACAGTGCTGTCCACGAGACTACCGGCTTTCCCAGATACTCTTTGTTTGTGACCTTCATCTGTCTTGTGCTTATTTGGTCACCTTACAGATGCGACTTACGGATGAGGAGTACATTCAAGGTCTCAAGGCACGGTTGATGTGATGTACAATTTTCCATGAAAGCAAGTCAAATTGACAATGGAAAAGATGAAGACCCAATATGACACTACAGGACATCAATTCAGCAAAGGTGAGCAGCTGTGGTTATGGAATCCGATTTGACAGAAATGGCTTTCTCCTCAACTACAGTCAATCTGGGAGAGTCCTTACACAGGCTAAACGGTGTCGTAATGTGGATCCTTAAGTCATCAAATTCTAAGCCTAAAGTTCTTCATAGCCCCTTACGGTGACAATACTTCTATAATCAGAACTCTTTCATCTGTGCAGCAGATTCTGGTGGAAATAGTACTGTTAGAAAATGTATTTTCGTACTAAAAATTAAATGCAATAACATCAGTTTAGTTTCTGTGTTAATCCAAGCCCACCAGCGGCCGAGCGGTAAAGTCGCTGAACACTGGTAGTTCGGGCCGAGGTTCGAATCCCGCAAATGGGCTGGCTGCATGGGCGTTTTCATGGTTTTCCCCATGTGTAACGTGTATACGAGTCAGTTTCCCTTAGAAAGTCCTCCACGAAGGCATCCCTCCTCTTAGGCAGATAGCCCTAGTGTGCTTTGCCATAATTAAATACACCAAAAAATACTGTTTTAATTCAAAAAAACAGTTTATATCACAAGACTCAGTAATTAGTATAGCAGTATATACAATACAAAGTCCGAAATCCGGACTTTGATTCTGGATTTGCGATTTTTTCTGAATATTAGATCATCAGTTTAAATCTAGTAAGATGGTATGCGAAAATTAAAAATATGAAATCATGATTTGTGAAATAATGAAGTATTTATGATCTAAAGGGTATCAAAATTTATAAAAAAAGCTTAATATTTGTTTACCTTATTAAACATTTCTTTCAATGTAAGTTGTTTAAGTTGCTTCTTTTTTTTTTGTGCTAATACTTTATCTTTAATTCTGTAGACAGGCATAATTTCTTGTTGAGTTACATTGTTGAAGTCCTGTAACTGCTGTGTCGAGAATTTCGACTAACTTGTCAATCAAATTTTTTTCGTTTTCAGTAACTACTCTGTCACTATCGGTAGCGGTATTTTCTGGATCTAAAACCATAGTACAGATTTTGCCATTCATTAATTGATTGATGATTGAGAAGCATTGTCATCACAATGAAAAACTTCTTTTATATCATCTTCATTTATTACTGCTTCTTCACATTTTTTTGCAAAATCCGTTAACCCGGCATTAATCCCGCTAATCGTACATATGCAAGTGCTCGCGCCGGGCCTACGAGGCCCATTTATGGATTTATATTTTATGAAGGTCATTAAACACCCCATTAAGCATTTACTAACAACATAATTTAAGACAATATTTAGAGCTCTAATTATATTCAATATATGTATAGAATTTCTAAAAAAAAATCTGTCCAAGTTTTGGTACATGTTAAAACAGGATGATCTCCGCAGACATTTCTTTCACATTTTGTACATATTATCTTAGATTTTCATAGACTCCAACTACTACGGATTCTCCGTAGTTTCTACGGAAATTCATGAAAAACTACGAGCTACGAAAAGTATGGAAAAAACTACGGATTTTACAGAAACAAGAGCAGGAGAACCAGTACGCAAAACGGAGCCAACTAATTCATCCGATGATTGGCTGAATACTTGTGTTATCATATATCACGTGTTGAGTGCGTTCCTAGTTTTTGAAGAATAGCCAGCCAATCGTAACTTAGATCAGTTAACTCCAACCGTTAACGATGTATCTATAGTTCCACCCAATTGTCTGTCTCCCAGGTTCCTCGCTGATGCGTGTTTTAGGCTGCATTCCATTGTTGTAGTAGTTTACGGCGAGAGCTTAGCGTGTGTCTTGTGAACTGTGAATCAGGTGAAAGATTTTTAATCATAATGCTGCCTCGAACGAAGAAGCCAAAATTATCAAAGCATAAGTTTAAAGATTCATATTCTTCAGAATTTCCATGCATTAAAGCGTCCGAAATTTCTGTGAATCACGCACACTGCAGTGTAGTGTATGCAACAAAGACTTCTCAGTTGCTCATGGCGGAAAAGATGACTGTAAACGGCATGTGTTTTCTCAAAAGCATATAGAACTTGGCACCGTAAAATCTAAAGAAATAACAAATTTCTTAATAAAAGGATGATGAAACAGATCCTATAAAAGCCGAATGCTATTTTGTTCGTTTTTTAATTGAACATAATCTACCGCTTTCTGTTTCGGATCATTCCAAAGAGCTTTTCAAAGCAATGTTTCCGGATTCTGCCATAGCAAAAAAATTTAGCTACGGTCATACCAAAACTGCTGCTATTGTGAAAACGCTTGCAGAAAATACTGTTGCTGATATTATAAAATCAGTGTGCAGTACATCATTTTCTCTAAGTACTGATGGAAGTAATGATAACAATGATAACAAACTGTACCCATTGGTTATAACATACTACAGTAAAGAAAAAGGAATGATAATTACTTCATTGATTTCTATTTTAGAATGCACGAATAATACAGGAGAAGGTATTTTTAATTGTATAAATGAAAACTTTAAAAACAAAGGTTTGGAATGGAAAAATTGCTTATCATTTTCTTCAGATAATGCTAGTAATATGATTGGAAAGTTTAAAGGTGTAGCATCATTTATCAAAATGCATCAACCAAGTATAATCACCCGAGGTTGTCCATGCCACCTCTTGCATATAGCTGCAAAAAAAGCTACTGAAAAATTAATTGGCTCAGAAATTGAAATGTTGATAATAGATATATATTTTTACTTGGAGAAAAGTTCGAAACGGAAGCATAGCTTCAAAGTTGCTCAACAAATTTTGGGACAGAATGCAAAATCTCATAAAATTTTGAAATATTGCAGTACGAGATGGTTGTCTCTTTTAGAATCTATAACAAGGATTTTGGAACAGTGGGATGCTGTGATAAATTTTTTTGGAGATAAACCAGATAACAGTGAGAATGAAGGAAAGAGATTGCAAAACATTAAAAAAATTTTACAGTCACCGACCACCAAATTGTACTTGTTATTTTTGAAAAATACTTTGCCTTTGTTTATAACAGTAAATATTAATTTGCAACAACAAGCTCCTTATATACATAAATTGAGAAGAGAACTTTTTGAACTTTTAATGAATTTATTTGTTAGATTCGTAAAACCATCAGTAATTTCTAAAGAAAATGAAGATGTTACTCTAACGTCTATTCCATTTCAGAAGTATAGTAAACAAAAAGAAAATGAAAATTTAGTGATTGGTGCGGAAACAAGACTATATTTAAAAAATGCCAAGTTGAATGAAAGTGAAGTGAAATCATTTTTCAATTCTGTGCGAGCTTTTTTTGTAACTGCATGTTCATATATAATTGATAAATTTCCACTGAGTGATCCATTTCTAAAACATGCTGAAGTTGCTGACATCAACTTGAGAACTGAAGTCTCATTTTCATCTGTTCTTTACTTGATGAATACTTTTCCATCCATTATTGATGAAAAATGTCTTAATCAAGTAGAAATTGAATTTTCCATGTATCAAGTAGATGATTTGAAAGAAATTGTAGATTTGCGTATTGATATAGCATGGGGAGAAATTGCCAAATTAAAAAATATGAATGGGTGTATTAAATACAAAGTATTGCCTTCTGTAATGCTTGCTGTCTTAATAATACCTCATTCAAATGCAGCTTGCGAAAGAATTTTTTCTATTGTTAAAAAAAATCAGACGGAATTTCGACCAAATTTAGGTCTTAAAACTCTTGAAGCAGTTTTGATTGAAAAAATAAATATGCAGGCAAATGAAGAACTGTGTTATTATAAAAAAACATTCTCAAAATCAGAACTTAAGCTTGCTAAGCATGCTACATATAAATCTTTGCATTCATAAATTATGCGTATTTTGTTTAATACTTATATGTATCATTCTTGGTTATTTAAATTTTATTTCCCTGTAGAAATCATATCCAGAATAAAGATATGATTTATAGCTTCTGATTTTTTCTATGATTAGTAGTGATTTGAAGTACTTTTTATTAGTGAATGCTTGAGGAGTTAAAAGAAAATTTCTAATTAAATGTGCATATAATTTACAAGGTATATTTTTAATTATTCAGTTTTATATGTATATGGATTTTAAATGTAATAAAATTGATTACAATTAATTATTAATTTAAAATTAATGAATGGTTAATTACAACATACGCTACACGCACATTTTCAAAGTTGTAAAAATGTCGTTCGTGCGTTGACTACTGACAAGGTTTGCTGAAGGTTGGAGTCTATGGATTTTCAGTCCTTTGAACTTGGGCACCTTGGGAACTTGGCAGTCCTTTGAAAAAGGGCATATAGCACCTTTTTCTCTCAATTATTTTGTTTTTTAGCAGTAGGTTCTTTGCTCTTGGGAGTCTTTTCTTGCAAATGTCGAGGGAGACATGTACAGTGCACCTCTCTGCTGTGTAGTCTTTCAACAAATCTGTTGTAAGATCTCTCAAAAACTGACTCCGCTTCCTGTGCTGTAAGCATGAATGTTTTGAGCATTGGAGTAATACTCGAGCATTGATTGCAGGAGTATGTAGCAGTGAAAAGAACAGAACCATCGGCCATCTTTTGCTGATTCTTGTAGTTGAATACGGTCCACCACATCAACAGCTCCTTTCGTCAAATTATAAAATGTTATTATTTCAGTTTTTTTTTTGGCCTCACCTGTTGTTTGAGCAATAGCGTCATCGTTATGCATTGTAGATAAGAGGTTAACAAATTTGTTTTTTTTTTAGGAACATACGACACTAAAGTCATGTCTTTCTGGAATGCAAACAAGGATGAATGCACCTTACGATTTTTACTGTTCACAAACTCTTTCAGTATTTCCCTCTTGTTCTTTTTTATGGTGCCCACTAGAGTAATGTTTTTCTGAAGGAGATACTTTGCAAGTTCATAACTAGTATACCAGTTGTCGACTGTTACATTGCTCTCAGAATTTAACTTTTCTGTTAACCTTTTGACGACTTCAACTGGTGAATTATTTACATGATACGGGCCTTGGGGCTGAGTGCCTGCATAAACTTCTAAATTACATGCAAAGAAAGTTCTTGCATCAGCAAGAGCAAAAATCTTTATTCCATACCTAGCTGGCTTTTTTGCCATGTACTGTCGAAATGAACAGCGTCCTCTAAATGGTTCGAGTTTTTTGTCAGTTGTAACATATGATCCCACTGTGTAAAACTCCTGACAATTATGCACAAATGAGCCAAATAGATATCTTATTGGGGCAAGTCCATTTCTTTTCTCATTTGCCTGTTTCTAACATCGTCAAATCTTATGCATCTCATAAAAAACAAAAAACGATTATGATACATGGTCCTATGAAATATTTCTACTCCCATTCCATCAATGCACCATAAATCTCTCACATGCACATGGGATGATTTATGTGTACCACATAAATATAGAAATCCAATAAAAGCTTTAATTTTGGAGAGTTTTGTTCTTTTAGCATCGCATTCTCTCTGAAAGTTGTCACTGATATTGTCAATATATATATTTGTACAGGTGTTGATCGTATTCAAGATATTTTCATCCAGTAATAAACTCCAAGACTCAAGAGAAGAAGTTGCATTTTTTGCCACTCCAACATTTCCAGGCAACTTTGAAATAATATTTCGCAATAAAGTTCGGACATTTTGACGAAATTTTGTTTTCTTCCAAATTGTCTTTCCATCTTTTCCAATAAAACAATCACAAACTGAATTAGAATCAATAGCGTCCTCTTCATCAGACTGGATTTCTTCTTCAGATGACGTATTATGCTCACTAAACCTTTCATCACAATCAGACAATAAATCATCACCTTCGATAGATTCGTCATCAGTCAATACTTCATCTAGCGAATTACGCAATCGTTCCATTTCTTCATCACATGTTAATCTGCGAGCCATGTTGTGCTACGAACTCGGTGCACTTCAAACTCGAAATTAGAAACACATTTACTCGCGCCGGGCCTAAGCGACCCGAAAAATGGCTTTTTGTCTGAACAGAATAAAACAAAATTCTGGAAACACCTCCTTTGTGTCAAAGGTCACCTTATACTCAGCTAGACCGGGTGTGGTCCATTTCAGCATTAAGCGGTAGGGTTTACATAGCTTTAACAAACTGATCGGGCCTTGGAAGCCCAGTGCAAGTAACGCCGGGTTAATTAGAAAATTTTACCTTTGATTTGCAATATTCAAAAACCTTTAATATTCACGACTATCATCATCAAATTTAGCTATCGTTCACTATACATATTTGGCTATGCATCATGAGCTTGGTGACTAACGACAGGTTGTTATGTTAAATTTTTTATCTTGCTATTATCGTGCACTGAGGCAATTAAGCCTGAATTGTATTAGTTTAGTTATTTATTATACTTCTTGTACATGCTTAAGGCTTATCAGAGTTCTGAATAAATAAATTCCCGCATATACTTAAATCTTATTGAGGGCGGGCATTAAATATCTTACCGCCTGATGCAGTCTTTGCGAGTCTTAAATTCTGTGACCCGGTGCAGCTACACGAGCCCTGGCGCAGGTTCTGGTTTTATGTGAATAACAAATTAGTTATTCTTAATTCAAATAGCCCTAAATGTAATCTTTGGGTCTATGAGTATCATCAACAAAATCTATTTTTAGCATATGGAAATTTTTTAGCGCATTTAACTTAAATCTGTAATCATCGCCAAGCAAAATGTCAACATAAAAGGTTACCATACTCCTTTATTATTTAATTACTAACGTTAAAAAAGAAAAAAAAAAAAAAAAAATTAGGCTTCTCTACATGAGTCATTAATCAAGTTATCATGTGTTGATAAACATGTGGGGATGAAAGGAAAGTATAATAAATAATGATTCGCCAGGGTTGGCATCAGATCGACAATGTATCTATGTGGAATGTTTCAGTTTGAGGTCAGTGCCAAAGCAGATACGAAGCAACGGAGCCAAATTACTGATCGTACAAATTTATGCTAAAATGATTGTTTCTTCAATAACAAGGTACTTTAGTTAGTGTCAAAGTGAAATTAAGAACTGGGACTTTTCAGGTGTTTTATTATCCATGGAGGAGGGGAATCATATGTGCATGCGTAAAGGTTACGAAAAAAACGGTGGTGGTGGTGGTTTTGAGTTCTGTATTTTAGATTATTCCGGATTTTGGACTTTGTACTGTATTAAACATTGATGCTTGTGCAATAGAAATAACATGAGGATTATTTACTATACCATTTAGGGCAGCAGCAGTTCAGTAATTTTCAAAGCAGCATTGCTTTTTCCTTGGTAAAAAATTAATTTGTTCTTGCTTTGTTTCCTCTTTTATGAATATATAGGTTTTAGGACTTACAGTACAATATAAAATCCAAGATCCAGACTCTTTGTGACTTTGGCAGTACCAGATTTGGGATTTTTTGGACCAGTTTTAAATCTAGTAAGATGACATATAGAAACTATAAAATTACAAACATTTTTATTTTTACATATCCTTGTTTAAAAAAAAAAAAAAATGAGATAATTATTGCAGAATGAGTGTCTTTGTCTCTGTAGAGATAGATAAAAGAAATAGTCTTCTAAATTAAGATATTGGGATCTCTCTAATTTAACATATTTTATGATCTTTAAAATGTCTTTAATTTTTTTAGCTATTTGTAAACTGCTAAAAATAATGATTTTTTTAAATAAAAATTTAAACCATCCTTTTAAGCAACTGACAATTTTAAGTGACATCTAAATGGATTACTAAACCAAATAGAAACTTAAATGAATTTTAATTTTGTGCCACTGAATAGATTCAAAGATCTTGAATTAATGATGTTCTATATTTATTACTATGATGATTAGAAGGAATAATTTCCTATATTCAGAGGTTGTTGCTGTTTTTGCCCCCCTTTATTACCCTCTTCCATTTTATGGATTACAAAGTACAGAATAAAATGTATGTACTATAATGGAACCTGGATCATGAATAAATTATCTGACAAAAATGAATAATGTCTTGAGTTTTGAGCAATCAAATCAGCAACAAATGATTTTCTAATGTGTTTTAAAGCACCTTCTGACATAATTAACACTCCGGATCTTCTAGAAATAACCATTTTAATATTTTCTATTGCTTTACTTTTATTATCAAAATCTAGCATAAAGGCAAGGATTATAAATTCAGCCTGGAGGATAGTATGGCCAGTTTATGTGCCAGGCTGAGGCTTTGAGTATTTTTTATTTATTTTGTCATCTGTGAAATTCTGTGTATGTAGATAACTAAAGCTATGGTCTTGGAAGTTAACAATAAAGACACAGAGTTGTTACTCAACCATCATAAAAATAAACAAAACAAGAAAGAATTGGAAAGTTTCAGAAGCAGTAACAAAAGGCAATTCTAGAGGAAATATCTTGAGAGGAAGGTAAGATGATTTCAGTTCTTTTATCCATAAAATTTGTGCAAAATGGAATAAGATGCAAATGAATATTACTCTGATAAAATAGTAGCAAGCTCAAGCATATCCATTTTCAATAAGAAGAAACATTTTAAAACATAGCCAAGAATAAATCATATTGCACAAATTTTGAGTGAAATGGAGGCATGATGAGTCTCAAGCAGAATGCTGTAGTAGGATGTGGGTATACCAAGAAGGTGGCATGGTTCCTTCAGTAAAAGACAGTTAATATTTACTGAAACTTAGCAAACAAATTGCAGACTAAAGTAAGTTTATGCCTTGCTCTGAACTCTATTCTTGGCACCAGCATTGTAGCACTTGTATACCTCAGATTTGCTGGACCACATGCAAATGTGCATAAGAGATAAGCTGTTCCCATTCTGTTTTTCATCATTTTCCGCATAAGTTATCCATACTCCTTCAGAAATAACAGTAAAATTAAATTTCTGTCTTTTATCTGCTTAATATTGTTTATCTTTTGTCTTACATTTAATGGTTTCATTAGTTTTGTCTCATGAACTTAACACAATATATTGTAAAGTTTGAATAAATAGTCGTATGTGGTCCAGAAATGAATTAATCCATTGTACATTAATAGTGAAAATGATTTCAGTTGATAAGCATTTCAGGTCATGAATAATGGTCTTCAGGAATGAATTACATTCATAAACAGAGATTCACTGATCCCCCCCCCCCCGAAATTATACCATTTGAGTTAAATGTAAATTTATTATTTTTCACAATATTCTTAAACATATAGGATTAAAAATAAAATTTTGGGGCATGTAATATATTTTATCTTAATAAAAATTATGTTGGAACGTTACAAGAATACAAGTGATAGCATAAAAGAAACAGGAATTGCATTTGATTTTTTGAAGTTTCTCTCTGAAAATTTTGGTTTAAATATCTGTTATTGTTAGAAAGCTTGCGATTTTATTTTTAGTCATGACTAAAAATATTATGATTATATTTTATTTCATTTAAATAAACCATATAACATTTTTTTAAGTATTCAAAATTATATTTGGTAATTATGCAGGTAAACTTTCATGGTGATTGTTGACACCGGTGCATGAATATATGAAAAAATGTAAGAGTGTGAAACATGTATTTTTAAAAAGCATGTTTAATTAAGTAAATGTAAAATATTTGAAATGATTTGTAAATTTACAAAAGGCATTATTTTTAAGAGTATCAAAGCATTACATTCTGATTTGTAGGGTTTTAATAGAGACTATATACAAGAAAAGTAAAGCAATATCATATAGTTCCAAGTTTTATTTTTATGGCTGATAACAGAATACTGAGTTATTATACAGCAGCCTGTCTGAACCATTAAATTGTAGAAAAGCAGATGGACATTACATGTAAAAAGCAGTGAATTAGTCTAAGAGGATCCTTATTCAATTCCTAGGTCAACTTATTTTCCGCTTCAATAATTTATTTACATTTTTCAAGCATGTACTCAGATTTTAGTATTTATTAATCAAGGACAGAAAATTAAATATCGATTGAGACCTTTTTCCCCTTCAGTAGTTTTTTTTTAATTTTTATTTATTTATTTATTTTTTTTTTATTATATTACCTATCCATATTCACATTGCTGATGTTAGTTCAAATCTCAGCTTTTTCATTTTGCTTTTTATTGAAAAATTGGGGTTGTATATAACTCATAACTAATGTT